GTGGTGCTTCTGATGCTTCCCAGCTACCCTGGGGTTGGCAAAGGCTGAAGAGAGCCAGTGCTTCACATATTGCCCTGCTAGGTGGCCCCCTCCTGCTGAGCCACGGCCCACAGGGTCCACTGCAGGGGCTCCCAGACCTGCCCATGCAAAGCCCAGACTTTCTTTCTCTTCTCTGCTTGTACCCATGGGGGCTTTTTTGGTATGGGGTATTTTCGTATTGGTTTTCCCCTTTAGATCAGTGGTTCCCAACTGGGGCAGAATTTGTATCTCCCACTCCAAGGACATTAAGCTATGTGTTAAGATGTATTTCGTTGTCGCATCTAGCGGTGCTCCTGGAATCCAGTGGTAGAAGCCAGGGAGGCAGTTAGATACCCAAAATGCATGGGATGACCCCGTATGATAATCACCTAGTTCAAAGTGTCACTGGAACCAGAACTGAGGAACTCTGGAGACAACAGTATGACCAGGATGTGCCATACAGTTCCTGGCTTTGCCCACGAAAGATCCTCCAGCATCCAGCACCCAGCCCACCTTCACCTGGCCCATAGCAGGCAGAGAACAAATAATGGTTCAATGGCAGAACAGAAGTTCAGAGCATGCTGAGTACTGTCAGGGCTCTGATTGGGCAAGAAGTTGATCTCTTGCCTGCCTTGATATTTCCTGAAAAGGGACCTGCCAATCTCTCTGAGTCTAGCCTTTCTCTCTGTTCTCTGCCCAAACAGTGACTGCTTCCTGGAAACCTCTACAAGGTGGAAGATGGCTGCAGAGTTCTCACCCTGGGCTTGGCCCACCTGGAGGATGTGAGCGGGCTGTGCAGAAACACCCCGTCCAGGTTCCCTCCCTGGGCTGGGGCTGCTCATTCTATAGCTGATGTCTGGATAGACCTGTGGACCACCTTGAGGACACTAGACCAGAGTACACTGCCTCTTTCCCTGTCCCCTGAGCCAGTTTTCTACAAGCAGGAGAAATGTGATTACTTTTCTTGTGCCCTAAACTTGAGCCCCGTGTCTTAGAAGGAATGCTCAAGAGATGTCCACACAGCTGCTGAGATTTTCCCAGGATCCTTTCCTGCACAAAGGGAGCTCAGCTTTGGAACATGAACACACTGCAGGACTCAGTGAAGAGTCTTATCTCATCCTTAAGCCAAAGCAGGAGGGGTTCTAGCCTATCACTGTCCTGGTGTGGCTTGAGGCTGACGGCTGCTTGGCAGGGCCAGAGTCCCCAAAAGTACAGTCTGTGCGGGAAAAGGATGAATGAGAGATCACTGCTGTGGTTTGAATGTGTCCCCTCCAAAATTCATGGGTTGGGACCTGAATCCCACATGCATGATAGGATGGGAGGTCGGGCCTTTGGGGAAATGTGTAGGTTGCGAGGCTCTACTTGTTAATGCCACCATGAAAGACAGGAGTTGCCAGGAGGAGTTCACCCCCTTTTTTGTTCTCCTTTGTGCCACATAAAGACAGTGTTCTTTTCCCGTGGAGGACCGGGATTCAAGGCACCATCTTGGAAGAAAAAGCAGCCCTCATGAGACACCAAACCTGCCAGCACCCTAACCTTGGGTTTCCCAGCCTCCAGAACAGTGAGAAATAAAGTCCTTTACCCTGTCTCAGTGTTCTGTCACAGGCGCATACATGACAAAGATGATCGCATTGCTTCTGTTTCAGGCTCCTGCGGAGGGGAGTGCGGCGGTCCTGCAGAGGAGGGATGTGGGAAGGAGGAGGAGGACTCATACACATCATAGGTCTATTCACCTCCTGGCTTCAGCAACAGGCAGTTTCCTGGAACTGCCACCTTTGCGTGGAGGTCACTTTTGAAGAGGGCCAGGGACAGTACTGGGACAGCGGACTGGGAGTCTGAAGCTGAGGCCTGGAGTCCCGTCTGTGGTGTGAGCCCTGAGATTCAGGGACCCACCATCCTCTGTTCACTGCTGACGGGTGCAGCGCCCTGCCAGCGCATCTCCTGGCCAGGGTTTGGGGAGTGTGAGAAGACAGGGCCTTCGGATCTAGCCGGTGGGAAGAGTTTTGCTTTTAACACTGAGGGAACCTTCTGAGATGGGGTGGGAATCTCCTCCTGGGAGGACTTTGAAGTCCCCAGGGAAAGCCTGCTAGGCTGGGCTCCGCAAACAGCTCCTAATTTACTTCCCTTAACTGCCCTGAAGGCCTCGAGCAACAGTTAAGAATCACATTACCGCCTTTTATTGTCTCTAATTTTTACCCAAACGAGCAGCGCTCTCCACTCACATCACACATCCAGGGACCCCACGATTCGCTGGCAGGTCTGGGTTCCCGCGTGGTCTGGAGAGATCAGCCTTCCCATGTTCTTCTCCCCTACGTGCAGTGGGGCCTCCTTTCCTCCCTCTCTGCTGTGAGTGAGGGAGCAGGGGCCTCAAATCTTACTCCTGGTGGGGGGAGCCTGAGTACACCTGGCACCTGTGTACATCTTATAAGGGGCTGGCAGTGTGCAGGGTGGGCCTGCCCGTACTTCCCTCACCGTCCTCATTTGACCCTTCAGCCCTCTCCCCTGGGTCTGAGCACTGCCCCGAGCCGGGGAAGGAGGCTCTTCAAGTCCTGTGACATGCAGTTAACTAGACCCCCCCTTGGTTGTAAGAGACAGAAACCCAACTGAAACTGAACGCAGACAAGAGGAGCTGGGTGTGGTGGTGCACATCTGTAATCCCAGCATTCTGGGAGGCTGAGGCAGGAGGATTGTGGATTTGAGTCCATCCTGGGCAATTTAGTAATTTAGTGAGCTCTTGTTTCAAAATAAAAAGTTAAAAAAAAAAAAAAAAGGACTGGGGATGTCCAGTGTGAAGGCTCCGGGTTGACATCCTTAGGCAGCAAATACTGATCTGTACACTTCAGACTCCAACTGGGCAGTTTCCTCAGAAAAGTTGCATCCACTGCCTCCAAGAATGACCCTGCCATCTCTCTGGCCAGGCTCAGGTCACACACCCATTGCTGAGCCCCTCACAGTGCAGAGGACAATACTCAGGCTGACGGCCCACGTCTATGACGTCCCCACGGGAGTGGACAGCGGAGTGAGGAAAGGGCTCAGGTTTCGCCACATGGCCAGAGAATGTGGAAAGGAGTGATTTTCCAATGGGACAAACCAGGCGCTGTGAGCATAGCAGCAACAAATTTCAGCCGCTGGGCTGGGTCAGATCCCTTCACTCCTTCCTCCTCCGCCCCTTCCCTGCATCAAAGGCTGAGTGACAGAGTTGATTCTGCAAAGGCACCTGTACAATGCCTGTATGACCGCCATTGATTTTCTCCTGGGTGGCTGCAGGCAAGACAGTGCTTGTCTGATGTCGGACACCACAGCCTCCTCCCTGCCTGCAGCTTTGCCTCCCCATGAGCGGGAGCCAAAGCTGCCACACCCTCCCTGCTCCACGCTGTCCAGAAAGTCCCCAGCTCCCTCCACTCAAGACCTTCCCCGACCTCCACTGAGCGACAGGAAAGGCCTTACCCCTGTGGGACCTGGGGTTTCCAAGACCAGAGCAGGATCTATGTGGGAGGAGAGGGCTCCTCTACCAACACCAGGCCGGGTGGGCTGCCAGGGGTCCTGCGTTCCTGCTGCTGCATCACCTGCTTGGCCACTCAGAAAACGGTAAAGTGCTTGAGGCTCTTGGGGAAGCTGTCAGCACCAGGTCGCAAATTCTCCCTCGCCACAAGGGAGGAAACAGAGGCCCAGACAGGTGAAGGAATTCACCAGGGTTACCAGCAGGCCTTGGCTGGTATGGATGGGGACCGGTTGGAGCCTGGGTTTATCTATCTCCTGGGGATGGTGTGAGGGGTCTGAGAGAGATGGAGTGCTCCCAACTTCCCCAATGGCTTCCCTCCTCCCCACCTTCCCCTCTTCTGGTGTGAACGTGACCCCTGTCATCTCTGTGCTCATCGCCCTGGAGACCTTAGCACACATCCTTCAGCCTGGAATGATTCCACCACACCAGCCTCTGCATCTGGCAGCCAGGGGTGGTCAGAGAAAGCCAGTCCCAGGTGGAAGGGCTGACCTCAGGACCCAGGAGGTGGGGCTGGGGTGGTGGCACGGGCTTGGGGCACCCCACTCTGGTGGGTTGGAGAGTGTTCGCTCACAACCTGCCAAGCCCCCCTTCTTGTGGAAAGAGTCAGCGCGAGCAGCGATAACCATCACTTAATTATCGAAGGAATTCTGTGCTTCATAAATTGTTTTCTTTCTGAAAGGAAAAGAAAGATTCTGAAAATAGTGTTTGGGGTATATTTCAGGAGAATGGATGGGGAGCACTTGTCTCCCATTCTTTACCGCTCCAGTGTCTACTGACTCCTGAGCACACAGATTGCCATGGCAACGGGAGGGCACAGAACAGTGTGGCTCTGCAAAATGGGTTTCTGGACCCAGGTACCCATCTCCAGGTTCTCTGTAGAGCAGCCCCACCAGCGCTATTCTCTTTTCTTTGTCATTCTGTATATTAGTGAGTACAGGCTCTGAGCCAGCAAGGGGCTGAGGTCTCTTAGATTTTTTTTTTCTTTCTGGTGCTGGAAAGTAGACCCCCTAAGGGCTGGCTCTTCCAAATAGTGCTACTGTGAGGACTGAGGGTGATGTTACTAACTCCTGTTCACAGGTTAGGTAGTGGAAACTCTATGAGTGTAGAGCAGTACTTCCTGGTGTTTTTGAGAACAGGGACTCATTTCACAAAAGACAAATTTTCCATGGTGGGGGTTTCAGGATTATTCAGAAGAGCCCGCAGCCCAGGTCCCTGCAATGCACAGCTCACATTGGCTTTTTGCTCCTGTAAGAATCCAGGCCACTGCTGATCTAAGAGGAGATGGAACTCAGTCAGTGATGCGAACCACGAGGCTTTGCTTGCTTGCCCACCTGTGCGGCCCAGTTCCTAACAGACTGGGGACCCCTGGTCTAGAGCATGTCCAAAGTTACCCAGCAGTCAGTGGCAGAGTGGGATTTGGACCCCCGGCAGCTGGCTCTTGGACTCCTGCCCTGAGCACTGAGCCCTGGGAAATAGGAGC